TGCCAATTCACCCCCCTCTTGGCCGATTCCGTCGATCGATTAACTCAACAATTATTTTCGGTAGTTGTTTCCTCTCCACTTCATCTACCGGAATGGTACTGGCCAGTAACTTATACGAAAGCCAACAGTCATCCATCATGTCCGGCACGTAAGGGGCCTTCTCAATAATTCGATATATTACGCCGTGTGAATCGGGCTCTAGAATGTTGGGAGGGACCTCTTCAACGATGACAGTGGCCTCTTGAACGGTGGGAGGGGACTCTTGAGAGATGATAGGGGCCTCTTGAACTATAGGGGAGGCCTCTTGAACGATGACAGGTAAGTCGGGCTTTTTCTTACGGATTCTTCGCACTATTGGGGTGAACGGAGACGTAATGGCACGTGCACGCCGTCTGATGCGTGAACTCCATCTTGCAAGAAAAATCCGACGTAGAGCATCCACCTCAACGGGCCGCTAAAAATAAATTAATACATAAATCAGTAAATAAACAGACATGATATTAAACAGTGAAAACAAAGACAAATATATTTCAAACTTGCACGGTATTCTCCCAAGTCATTATTATATCATTGTTCACAAAATGCATCAGATAACATTCCAGTAGTAAGCACTTGTATAAACATTTAAAAGGATAACATATAGGTTTAGTGCAGGTTCAATGACAACATAAAGAGTAGTAGTTTATTCTTGAAACTTAAATTTTCAACACTGTGAAGTTAGTATTTGTCTTTTGGTTGAAGTAATGCAATTCATTCAAGATTCAATTTGCAGAAGAAGAATAGAATCTGAAACTTAAAATCGCAACGCGAAAATGACTATCGCAACATGGAAATGACTATCGCAACGTGAAAATGACTATCGCAACGCGAAAATGACTATAGCAATGCGAATTTGACTATCGTAATGCGAATTTGACTATCGCAACGAGAGAATCGTAATGCGCAAAAATGACTATCGCAACGCGAAAATGACTATCGCAACGCAAAAATGACTACCGCAATGCGAATTTGACTATCTCAACGAGAGAATCGCAATGCGATTTTCATTTCGCATTGCGATTCTTTCGTTACGATAGTCAAATTTGCATTGCGATAGTCATTTTCGCATTGCGATAGTCATTTTCGCGTTGCGATTTTGTTGTTGCGATTTTCTCATTGCGATAGTCATTTTCGCGTTGCGATAGTCATTTTCGCATTGCAATAGTAAACTATTCTTCTTCTGCAAATTGAAACTTGAATGGATTGTATTACTTCAACCAAAAGACAACCAAAAACAAATACTAACTTCACAGGGTTAAAGAATAAACAGTTAAACAGTATTGGCAGCAACCGAATGAATTTACTAAGCAATCTAAGTGAAATTACGAGTAAATTTATCATCAAGTTAAATATGAAAAATATTAAACTTACCTCGTTACGTAGAATATGAACCTCGTTCTGCAACGATACTACAATCTCACGTAGAGCTGCTACCTCACCACGTAAAGTAGACACCTCAATACGCCATGCACCATTGTCATCGCGTAAAGTACCGACCTCCTCACGCAAGGCATTGACCTTATTACGTAACTCCCCCTAACTCATCCCGTGGAGGTGGAGGTGGAGAACAGGGAGATAAACGTCGTGGCATCTTTTCCGGTCGCCTATCATGAGGTGATGGTGCATAAGAGGCTCGATGATGTGACAGAATAGGTGATGACTCTCGTTGTGGAGGTGTATATTCGGGTCGATCAGGTGATGGCTCTGGGTGAGGTGATGGCTCTCGAAGTGGTGGCTGCTCATCATCCGTGCCATCAAAAAAATGCTTACTAGCTTGCCACCAATCAGTGGCAAGCTCAGCTTCCGTGGGTGTCAGCCTCTGTAATGGAGTGTTGGCCTCCTAACAATATAAAAGCTCAAACAAAGTTAAACGTGTACTAGTAATAACTTGTTTATAAACATATGGTAGTATTTGCGTTAACTTATATTATTTATTGTAGTATACGGTAGTAAATCTTCCCATTGCTGCAAGGATCGTTTCCTCTTCCAGGAAATAGCCCTAGGAATATCATTAGAAGTTTTTAATGCATATGTCTGCATGGCGGGAAAGGCCTCAAATATCCAAATCTACAAACAATATAATAATAACAAACATTAGTAATTGTTAAAGAATTAATTATAATTTTGGAAACATTATATAAAAATTATTACCTTAAAGGCCCAAATAAAGCCTGACAAAGTGTATTTGGAACCATCGCCATGCAAACTTTTCCGATCATCAAAGGCAGACGACAACTTATTCCATGTAGCTTTCCATAGATACGAACCCCACAGAAACAGGTTTCATGCATTTAGGTCCTCTACCAATTTAATTAGATCATTAGGAATAGGTTGTCGGGCCTTTCTGCCTAAAAAGCTAGCTTGCAAAAGTATTAGAAGGCATACTCGGATAACATCGACGTCATCCATCCGAGCAAAACCATCTTTCTTATTCATTAATCTCGTCAAGTCTTCCACGTATAAATTCGACAGCTCAGGAAAAACCCGGGAAAACCATGATAGGCGGGTAATATGTCTAGTGTACCGATCTACATCATCGTGTCCGAAGCGTAGACCGGTGATTAAGCAAAACTCCTCCCGCCCAAAACACGTATACGCCGGTGGAAAATCAAACCATATCTCTTCATCACGAAGTTGTATAGTCTCTGGTAGATCGCTAGTCATGGTTTGAAGAAACAGATGGGTCAACATAGCATCTCCACCCGGATGTTGTACTTTCAGCCATGACCCGAAACAAGTATCCTCAAATATTTTTCTTTGTGCAGGTGAAAGCTTCGACGCAATTGTTTTGGCCAGGCTTACTTTATTTCTTAAGGTCAATTGAGCCGAATAAAAGTTCTGCAAAAACAATAAACTTACCAAGTTAGATATACCAAAAACTACACTGTGAAGATATAACAAGAACAATAAACATAAAGAGTTTTAGTTTATTCTTCAAACTTAAATTTGCAACACTGTGAATTTAGTATTTGTCTTTGTTTTTTGGTTGAAGTAATGCAATTCATTCAAGTTTCAATTTGTAGAAGAATAATAGTTTCTGAAACTTAAAATCGCAACACGAAAATGAAAATCGCAACACGAAAATGACTATCGCAACACGAAAATGACTATCGCAACGCAAGAATCACAATGCGAAATGAAAATCGCAACACGAAAATGACTATCGCAACGCGAATTTTACTATCGCAACGCAAGAATCGCAACGCGAAATGAAAATCGCAACGACAGAATCGCATTGCGATAGTCATTCTCGGTTTCAAATACTAAAATTGAAAGAAACTTGAATGGATTGCATTACTTCAACCAAAAGATAAAACAAAGACAAATACTAACTTCACAGGGTTAAAGACTAAACAGTTTAGCAGTATTGGCAGCAATCGAATGAATTTAATAAGCAATCTAAGTGAAATGGTTAATCTATTATTGAAAACACCAGTAAACTTATCATCAATTTCAATATGAAAAACCTAATAATAATGCAAAAATTTCAAAAAAAAATAATTAAAAAAAAACTAACTCTCGGTGGTTGATTTTCCATTTCTGACCGTGAATGATTTCGCCGGAGATGGAGACTGATATCGTCGGAGATGGTGACTGATTTCTTCGGAGATAGGGACGGATGTCGCCTTAGAGAGTGAGAGATGAAGATGAGACTGAGTTGTGATTTAGGGTTTTAGGTTACGAGTTGCGATTACGGGATATACTGTGGACGGTTCAGTGTTCCGATATATTAATATATTCGTGTTTGGAATTTGAAAAAAAAATACGCGTTGGATACGAATGGCTATGTAAATCGCATTGCGATAGTCAGATTCGCATTACGATTTACGTATTCGCATTGCGATTTACGTATTCGCATTGCGAAAAAGGAAAATCGCAACGCGAATTTGGAAAATCGCAAAGAATCGCATTGCGAATCTGGAAACGGATTTGCGATACCGGAGATCGCGTTGCGAATTATCGATCGTATTGCGATTTAGTTGGTGATTTTGGCAAATCCAAAAAAAGTTAGTTAAAATCGTATATTATAAGGTATTTTTAGTCACTGAGTTATTTTTTCCGATAATAATGGTAGAGAGAAAATGGATGGGAATGAGCAGACAAGATTAAGGTCCGTCTGATTCTGCTCTACCACTGTTTTTTTCAATTCAACGGCTGAACTTTGAAATAATGTAAATTTTAGGCTTTGAATTCCCTTTTTTTTTTTATTCTTTTGTAGGGTTAGGAGTTCAAGTGTAATAAGTTCATGTTAGATTTCGTTACAAACAAATTTATACATGAACTTGGAAAAAAATCATTTATATACTATTAAAAAGTTTCATATAATCATGCAGATGAAATTAAATAGATCAAAATGTTTACTTATGATTTATTTCTTTTAATTTAGATGAAAAATAATTGTTAGTAAAAAACCGATTGTTAATTAGTATCAATAAACCTTATCTCAAAGAGAAGATAGAACACAGAAGAGTTAAATAATTTTATTGAGGTTGTATCTCGTTTCTCTTGATCGAAAGATTTTATAGTGATACTAAATATAAGTGACAGATGTAGAGTTTTTATAACTACTCATAAGTTGCCTAGCTAGGTAAATAGATGATAGATTTTATTTTGATAGATCATATAAATTTATCTGAGGTCATTGACGTTCAGAGTCCTTCCTTCGGAGACGTTCCTTTCATGTCTTCTAATGTTCTTAAAGAACCGAAGATTTCAGAGATGTCTTAAGGATCTCCAGTGGCTGCGAAAAAATGGTTTGTGCAAAGACCATCAACGAGGTACAGCAAATCCATATATTAAATGGATATTCAAACTTCTTTATCATTGTATTAACCGGTAGTTTGCAAAAGCTCATGAGGAAGAATTCAAGAGAATGGACAAACAAAAATGTCACACCAAGAAACAGTTTCAAAATTGTAATCAGTCTAATTGATTCTATTATTGATGTATAAAAAAAGTAGCAATCGGGTACAATTCCAGAAAAATTTATAGCTAACCAAATAAAAGGAGATTAATGAGTTCTTTAGATCAAATACTATATTTTTTTTTCTTGATCTACCAAGATGGAGACTCACTATACATGGTAAATCATGTAATCTAATTATCTCTTGCTATTAGATTACCTGATTTTCCAGCTTCATCACTAAGATCGAAGAAAGAAAAGAGTATGTATGAAACATCTATCCAGCTCTGCGAGAAGTGACAAACAATGAATTTTCTGTCACTTGCTTTCCTTGAGCTTGTAGTTTCCCGGGTTTTGTCTTGTCAAGTCTTGCTCTTCGAGCGAATTCTTGGATCTTAAAGTCATGGTCCTTAAGCAATTGATCGACATTCTCGGATGGAGCAAGTAATGGACCTGACACGTAGATTTTGTTTCCCCTTGGACCACGACCATGCTGGAGAATATAGCATTCATAACAATACGCAGGTTTCAGAATACATTATACATTGCATGAAGTCCATGTTTAGAATTGCAGTTTGTAAGGCATATTGAAGCCTAATCTATGCATGTCAATTTGAAAACAAGGAAAAAAGTTGCGGATTGTGATTAAAAAAGAAATCGACCGCTGTATAAGATAAAGAATAATGTCCAGAAACTAACCATTGGTTCCTTGATGCAGGGTCTTCCACCTCCCGTCTGTGGGGATTCTGCAGTCATCGGCATATGGCGTCTGACATTGTGTTTTCCTGGAGGCTCTGGTTCATTAAACGATCTGCGAGACCTGCCTTCTTGGTTCACTGCTTCTAGAGACAAAGGTCCAGATCTGTCTCTGTGATCTTCAGGAACCAATTTTCTAGTTGCTACTAAACCAGATAACTTTGATAAGTTAGCCCTGGATGGGAGCCTAGTAAGGTCATCAGGTTCCTTCCCAGATTTTCCAAATGCAACACCATAGACCAATGGACCTGAATGTGAAACTTTCTTTCTATTGTACTCTGGGAAGTATCTACTATTTTCTTTTGTAGCATTAGTTTGTTTAGAGGGATCAACCAATAAACCAGAAAACCCGTCTGTGTTACGATAGTTCGACATCTGACTGCTGCTCTTCAAATTAGGTTGTGGTTGTCTTCTCTGTAATTCGAGGAGCAAGAAGAAAAATGTCATCTTGTTGCATATGACTGGCATTCGAACGAATAGACATCAAAACTTCTTAAGAAAACAAAAATACCTGCAACGATGTGGTCAGATCAGCATTAGAATTGGATGATGTCGTAGAAACTGGTTCCTTCTGCCCCCTCCTTTCCATGTCGACCCTTGACCTGCTCCCAACTGCTCTTTGCCTAAAAGAATATAAGAAGACGTTAATCTTATGAAGAAGGCTTTTTGAAATTCTGAAGAAAAGAAAAAAGATGTAATTACAAGTCCAAAAAAGAAAGATAAAGAAATTTAAATAGAAGTAAGACTCTATTTGGCCTAGATGACCCAAAAATAAAATATACACATGCTGATTTTTTAATTCAATAATAATCAAATTTAACATATACCTTCTAGCTTCTTCGTCCCGCAACTTAGCATCGATCTCCTTGCTAGGAGGATATTTGGGTAAACTTGAAGTATCACATGCAAAAGGTTGTGTTGTAAAGAACTGAAAGAAGGCCGGAGAAAAAAAATCAGTGAAACTTTTACAAATTCAGGGTGAACAGTACTAACATAAGTCGATCAAGAGAAATTCATTGGTTATGATCGACATATTGTGCATACCTCACTCTTCAGAGCAAACGCTGCAGTTCTTCGATGAACAGGATCTATTGAAAGCAAGGTGTCCATGAGAGTTACAGCAGGAGAAGGAAAGACTTTAAATGTTTCAGCAACACATCGTCTATAAGGGTGAAGAGGCTTGAACACCGTTGAATGAGATAATTTTGCTCTTCTCCAATATTCCTCGGATGGTGAGCCGCATAGCTTAAAAATCTTGTGTAACTGCTCAACCTATAAATTCAAGAGGATTTTTTTAAAAATTAAAAAGTATTTTTTTAAAAAAGGCCTAACACTAGAATGCTTGATTCAATAATGTTAAATAAAAACGTATTTATACAAATGTGTAAATCTTGAACCTAATACCTCTGTTTTCCCGGGCAAAATAGGTTTGCCAGAATATAGCTCTCCAAGTATGCAACCAGCACTCCATAACTCTATTGCAACCCCATAACACGAAGCTCCCAACAAAAGTTCTGGTGGTCGATACCAAAGAGTCACTACACGGCTCGTCATTGGAACACTATCATGAGGATCAAAATGGCATGCTAAACCGAAATCTGCAATCTTTAATATTCCATTACAGTTAATGAGAAGATTTGAACCCTTTATGTCACGATGAAGGACACCATGGCTGTGACAATGATCAAGTCCACTTAGAAGTTGCTGCATATAGCACTTAATCTGACCAAAAATGGGAAAACGTATTTAAGAATAAGCAAAAGCTATAAATTGCAGAATAAAAGTGTGTAGGTGACTGCTGCACCCATGTTGCATCTCTCTATTAAGAGAAACTGTTGAACAACAGCATGAAATATCTAAAAAACCATTTTAAGATTACCTGAGGCTCGGAAAACTTGATTCCAGGAAGCGATGCAAGTCCCACAAGATCATGTTCCATGTATTCAAAAACAAGGTATAAGCTGCATGACATTGGGGATGTGATCAAGCCTTCCAATTTAATAACATTTGGATGATCAAGTCTTCGTAAGAGATTAATCTCCCTTGCCATGAACTTCACACTCTCAGGGTCATGATTATCAAATCGCACTTTTTTCAGCGCCACAAGTTTATTATGAATCACATCACGTGCCTTGTACACACTACTATAAGTTCCTTGGCCAATCTGCGAGAATGAAATACTATCATACAAAAACCAAAGGAAAATGAGAATATCAACATGGGATAATGCAAATCCTATAGATACAATAATAAGATGAGTTTCTCTGACAAACTAAATCACCATGGACACTATTACAGAACATAGGATCTTCACAAACATTTAATGAGGTTACCTATAGTCAACTAGGCAAGCTAATGAGAAAATGTAAAGCAAAATTCTCAGAACAAAATCAACTGCAGTCAGTTGTTCATTCGACATTCGACATATGATGAGCAATTGAGCATTGATCAAGCTTCAAAGAACAAAAGTAAAAGAGGAATTCAAGCAAAGTAAAGGAACCTACTTTATCCTGCTTCTCAAAGGTGTTGGCCCGTCGGGGTATCCATCCTTTGATAGCTTCACTTGCCACAGCAGCAAGCCATGAAGGCCATCCTGCTGCAACCTGCTCTCCTTTTATGCTATTTGACACCCTTCCCGAACCAGGATGAGGAGGAGGAGGAGGAGGAGCAATTGTTGTAACCTCAAAGCTTTCGACTTTATCAATTGTCTCGATCACTTCAAACTTGTCAATAGTACTCTCCTTCTCAGCCTGATCATTATAACAATAATGATTAGAATCAGTCGTTTTCTTATCAATCAACAACACTTTCACATCACCGCCATCGTATTTATCCTTGGATCCAACGATTTCCTCTCTTCTTGACGAATTGGCTCGAGGAACAAGCTTTTCCAATGACCCTTTTGGCTTCAGCCTCTCTTTGTGATTCTCACGGCTATCTTCGACAGCCGCGGACTTAGAATTCATGCAACCCATGTTTCTAATATAGGTACACACAATTACAGTCGACAACAACAAATTACCTACTTTATTAAGAATCCTTAATTCACCATCAAAAAATTAATCCAAAAAGAAAAACCACCAACTCTAACCTCTTGATAAAGAATTCGAAGAATTCACAAATATCCAATCCATCAAATACACTCACCCCTCAAAGTTGAAGAATTTGGACTACACAAGTCTCTAGCAATCAAAGTCACCCCCAAAGACCCAAATTTTTCCAAATTGTGAGTGGAGTACAAGTCCCGTCAATATTGGACATTAAAAACAGATTTAAAAAAAACACAGAAATGTTTGGGAAAGTAACTGAAAATCTGGGAACAAAGAGCATAGAGAAGTTTAATTAACTAATCGACTAGGAAACTGTGGGTGGTCTTTTGATAAACGTGTTAAGGAAGTAAATTCCGGATTGTAGACGGGGAAAATTAAGGAAGGGAGGGATTTTTTTTCATTTTTTTCCCCTGCTGAAGTGGGTGTTTGAATGCTGTATTGCTGCATTTAACGCGTTTACGATTTGACAACTACATTGTGTATGTCTGGGTAATTATTAATTTGTTATTTTCTTTGGGTAAAGTATACAAATGGTCCTCAACTATAAGACATTATTTTGTTAAGTCTCTTGACTATTAAAAGTTATAAAATGGTCTCCCAACTATTGAGCATTGCTTTATCGAGTCTTCTGACTATTAAAAATTATAAAATGGTCACCACAATTCATATGTTCCAAACTTATTATTTTTCTTTAAAAAATAGGTGATTGTCTGAGATTGACGTTAACATATTAATTGTGATATGATAAAATCTTATATCATAATCATTTTAGTTGTATTTTGTGAATCAAATATTTATTTACATTATGACGTTAAGCTTGTGCTTGAAACATTATGATGTTGAGTCAGTGCTTAAAAGCAACGACGGTGCTAGTAGACATTATTAAAATATAATTTTATCACATCTTAGTCAACAGGTTAACATCAAACTCAGACTAGCGTCAATTTTTAATAGAAAATGACGATTTTGGAACATATGAATAGCTAAGTGACCATTTTGTAACTTTTAATAATCAAATGACTCAATAAAGCAACACCTTGTAGTCAAGGGACCATTTGTGTACTTTATCCATTTTCTTTTTTTAATTATTATTATAATTATGGGTAAACTACAAGTTTAGTACCTAAACTATTACTTTTGTTCTGTTTTGGTTTCCAAATTTTTTTTTCAAAATCATAATTAACATTTAGTTTAACTTTCATTTTGATATTTCGCCGTTAAAAACTTAACGGTGATATTTACATGTCACCTTAAGGTAATGACACTTCATCATTGAAAAATAAAATATATCACATAAATAGTTCTGTTAATTTTTTTTAACGACGGAGTACCAAATTGAAATCTAAAATAAATGTTAGGCATGATTTAGAAAAGAAAAAATTGAGTACCAAAACGGAATAAAATTAATCATTTCGATATTAAACTTGTAGTTTACCCTATAATTATTTTAGGGCAGGCCTTGGCCTACCGATTACTCATTCACACTCCAAACCATTTTTTACCAGTGAAATCCCATTATCCCTATGTATTTCACCCGTCATGTGTTTGTTTATAAAATATAAAAAAAAGTTAATTGCATCATAAATTTTTAAACTATGTCCTTCATTTAAAATTGACCCTTAAACTTTTTATCATTTCAATTTCATCCTCAACTATGACACATTCTAAATCAATCCCCAAACTTTTGAATATTGCAAAATCATCTCAAATTATGACCCTCGTTCTAAATTGGTCCCCAAACATTTGAACATTCTAATAATGTCTCCCTAAATCATTCAAAAGTTTATCGGTGAAATTATAATATTCAAAAGTTTGGCTACCAATATAAATTTATGGTCATAGGGGATGAAATTGGAATGTTTAAAAGTTTGGATTCTAATTTAGAATGAGATTCATAATTTAGGGATTAAATTAAAATTTAAAAGTCTAAGGACTAATTTAAAATAAAAAATTATAATTTTAGGATGTATAATCAATTAACTCAATATAAAATTACTTTGAAATAGGAGTTAACCCATTCAAGCTTCAAAAGTCAAAGCTTGAACGTGAGTCATAATCCTATGTTTTGTTGATTTTATTGATCCAATTAAAAATTAAGTTTATTAGTAATCTAAGTTCTCAAATTAAAAAAAAAAATCAATTAAGTTTATATTTTTATATGTAGTTGAATTGTGCAATTAAACTAATTAAATTTTTTACTAACTTTGACCATTAAATATTAATTACATTTTCTAAGATTTATTATCATATTACAGTTTTATCACATTGTATCTGCAATTTTTTAAAATAAAAAATCTAAAAAAATATTAAAAGATTAAAACTTCTAAAAATGTCATATTAAAAAATTAATAAACTTTTAAAAATACCATACTTTAAGAAATATACTTTTAACTATAATTTCCTTATATTGAATTAGTTGGTGCACACATTGACAATATCACCATATGCCCAAATCATGTAGTTGTATTATTTGAGTGAAATGCAAAATCTGGTCACGGATCTACAAAAGAATATTTTAAAGACAAATAAAAATGATAAATATATATTTCCAATATGTTATGGTATGGATGGGATAATTCATAATTGGGATGAACTATGCTTCACTTTGACCAATACTTCCAACAAATTTGAGGTGGCTACATGTATCATTATTGGCCGATTTAAAATCTTTATAGAACAATTAATAGAAAAAAATATATAAATTTTAAAGAAAAATAAACTAATTTTAAGATGAATATTTACACACCTTAAAAATTATATACATCTATCTGTCACTGTATATTATAGATTTGTATGGTTGAAGTTGGAACAATGAGAAGTGGAGTAGGGTGAAATAATCAATAGATTGTGAATTTGATTTGATAAAATTTTAATGATAAATTATTAAAATGAAAAATATTTATAATAATTTTATAAAAAAATTAATGATTAAAATAATGAAGATATGTTATGTTAAAACTAAGAGAGAGAAAAATGCGTTCGATACAAGGCAATGGTAATGACTGGTTTTGTGATGTCTTGAGGAACATAATTTATTTGAAAACAGAATTAATACAAATTTTTCCTTCTTTATTGGTGTCATTGTACCTAAGACTTGAGTGATAAGCCAATTAATTGAAAAGGCAGATAAGGATGCATTTATAATAATGATAGTAATAATGACACAATAATATTATCAACTTTTCGTTGGATGAAGTTATTTTTTAAAATAAATAAACAAATTCAATTAAAGGGGGTATTTTTTTATGTCTGAGATTCATGTAATTACGTTTGTAGGATGTGTACGTCGTAAATGACTTAAACATATTATGAACGATATTATCTTATAATTGCCTCAAATTATTAAAAAATTAATTTTATTTTTTTATTTAAAAATTTAGTCCAATTTAGTTGGAATCTAATATGATTACACCGAAAGTCTCCAAGAACAACAATAACATTAAGGATTGTGAATAAAATGGAGGAGAATTATTGTTGTTTAACTTCCAAATGTAAAAGAAAGGAAAGATATGAAGTCTAAACTAAACAAAATGTGGCATATAATGAGTTTCAGATTCTTGCATTAATTAGGATTTTAGATGAATCATTTATTTATTTATTTATTTTAATTCTGTGTTGATAACCATCCATGTGCAATTCAAAGAGGGTAGCTCCCTCCTTGTTGAATATAGTTTGGCCGGTAATATATGTAAAATGTAATATACATCATATTAAAAACGTTTCATTATATAATTAATTTTTCTTTCTATTAAAGTATTTTGATGTCAGCGTTTTTAATTTACGTTGAAAAGATTATTAATGTTTGATTCCATAATCACTTTAGGCCTTATTATTCATTTTGTATTTTAGTCTGAATGTTTCATCTCAGAGCAAAAGATACCTATTTTGAAGTATTGATTGTTTTTTACTAACAATTTCTATACACGAATAGATTTTTTTTCCATAATGAAACTTTGGGAGCAAAAAAAATAATCAAAAAGACCCATATTTTTAAAAGTTGATTGTTTTTTAACTAACAATTTTTATCAACGAATAGACTTTTTGTTCTAAAATGAAGTGTTGGGAGCAAAAAAAAAAATAGGTCAAAAAACTCCCTAACTTTTGTTTAAATAATCATTTTTGACTTTCTTTAAAAAAAAGAATTGATCTTCAACATTTTAGTTTAGATCAAAAAGATCCCTAACGTTTAATTAAATAATTATTTTTAATCTTTTTTTTTGGAGTATTTTATACCTACAACATTTCATTTCGGGCAAAAGACCCCTATTTAGAAGCATTTGACTATTTATGATTAACAGTTTCCATCCTGAACTGATATTTCTCTTAAATGAAACATTAAAAATCAAAAAGATCCCTAACGTTTAATTAAATAATTATTTTTAATCTTTTTTTTTGGAGTATTTTATACCTACAACATTTCATTTCGGGCAAAAGACCCCTATTTAGAAGCATTTGACTATTTATTGATTAACAGTTTCCATCCATGAACTGATATTTCTCTTAAAATGAAACATTAAAAATTAAAATACTTTAAAATTTTAAATAACTATTTAATTAAACGTCAAGAATAATTTTTTTTAATTATTATGTGTTATAATAAGAAAAGGGTGGGTGGATTTGAGAAAAGAGGCAACGTTAGCTTAACTAAATATGCTTGTAGAAAACAAGGGAAATGGAGTCAACAAATTGTATGACAGTGATTTGAAAGTTTGAATTAATAGGCGATGCTTTGTTTACCTATAAATTGGATAATATTTCATTCCAACAATTGACTGGACCGTTTCTATAAATAAAATTTAAATATTATATAAAATGTTGGGTTTTTGTATTTTGCGTCTAGAAAGTATCGGCAAGGTGTATCGTATTCTATTCCAGCTTTGAGGCGGACTTTGTTGAATTATTTATGGATTGCACCGGACCAAGGTAAGGTTTCAAAAAATATTCAAGTTAAAACACAATCTATTCAAATTTCGAGTTAAATCCTTTTTGAACACTCTGTTGCAGTTACATTTACATAAGGTGGTTACCAGAATTCCTTTGCTTCAAGGGTAGTGGCATTTTCCCGCCACTTTCCCGTCGTTTCTACTTTTCTTTTTCTAATTTTTTCGTTGGTTGTAGTTTGGTTTATCGACTTTCGGTTATATTTTACGTATTTATAATAATATTTTTTTTTGCCCTTT